CGCATTGTTGGTTAGTCTAAACATCCGCATTACTGATTTTTTCCTGGATAACAAGTGCTACTATTTTACCCTATTATTTGAATGTTTGTTATTGTTTAAAGTTTTCAGAAACAACACAATTCTTCAAAAAACAAACCTAGTGTGTCTATCCATTGTTATAAGTTAGCTTTTATTAACAAAATATTATTCGCCATAAAATGTGGAATAAATTGATAGCTGGAACTCTCTTACTATTGACTTGTCGCTTGAAGAAATTTGTAGTCAAATAGCATCATCATCTTTATCAGTATTGTTATTATTGTTGTTTTTCCAGTCCAGCTTTCCCAACAGTTTACCAAATATATTCAACTCTTCATCACTGTTTAAATTTTCAAAGTATGTTGAATCAACCACATATTCTTTAAGAAACAGCTTCAGTGCGTCTAAGTGTTGACTCGATGCGGATTGCTGGAGTAATAAATTATTCGATGAAGCCGACGAGTTCGATGATGATAAATTGCTCAATGTTCCGGAAGATTCCAATGTCATTGTTGGAAATGATTTACGAAGCAACAAACGAGTTTTTCGAGCAAAGCAGCAACAGTATGACTGGATGCAACCCCATGGCTTTAGGGTGTCGCTACCTACATATAATAAAAATACATAGATTAAAGCATATTAATTTGAACGGTTTAAATTTGCACAAGTACAAATTTCATAAGTATGCACAACACATACCAAATAAAATGGCATACACTGTTAAAGACCCTGTTAATGCGCCACCAAGTAAACCAAGCGCGTTAAAAATCTATTAAATTTGAAAAGTCAGTGGCGTATAATTTAACCTTTTAAAGTTTATCAACAATAACAGTATCGAATTACCGTGCGTGATCTGTGGGTATAACAAAAAAATTTAAAATTATGTAATGGACAATGTTATTCGGTATAAAGTAAATATAAACTTCTGTTTTACTAGTTGCTTACCTTTGCTCTGTTTCTGTCTTGACAAGGAAACTGTTAGACTTTATAATAAGTGAACCATATACGTTAGGTTTCATTATAGTGTCATTATGAAACATAGGACCACTACTACCTATAATTAATAACCATATTAAATGTTATAAAAAAAGCCTTGCGTGTCGTGTTTGAAGTTTGCCTAGTTGGTATTCATCAGCAGTCTAAACATCATAGGTACTCACTCAATCTCGAAGTCAAGTAAGATAATGAAATAAGTTTTGGTGGAAAGCCAAGGTCGGTAAGCAAACTTGGTTTAATAATCTCTCTCACATTTCGAGCGTAATCAATGTAATTTTTTTGGTGGTAAAAAAATATATATATTGATTCAAGAGCAACAGACTTGACTAAGGTTGAATCAATATCATTGGCGTTTATGATTCCTTTGGCAGATTTCATTTCAGTTTCTTATTTAATGGCAAAAATTTAACAGGTATTTAGGCAACGGTAATAGAATAACACCAACAAAAAAATATAGAGTAGTTACCTGTGTCCGTTAACCCAACTACAAGCTGAAAGGCATCAGCATTACGGGGATCGAATGTCGTTTCAGTAACGGTCATAATAAATGCTACTTGATTCAGCCCTTTCGCGTTTCCCACAGGCACCATTTGCAAATGAAGTGGCGGTTTAAACCAACCGACGTAAGCAGTGTTATTTGTAAGCGTTGGCTGTTGGATGTACTTAGTACACTCAGCAGAAGTCGAAACATTATTATTATTATTCACTTAATTATGCATTTGATAAAGAAATGAAATTAGCGTTAGTTGGTATTTTAGTAACAAATTGTAATTACATATGAGTAAACCTTTAACGCAAGTTTAAATACTTACTCAAAATAAAAAAGCAAGACATATTAAAGTTAAATTTATATGTAAACATTACCGTCGGAAGTGACAGGCTGTCTACCGTTTGCCATTTTGTGGTTATGACTGGGGTATCATGAACAACGTTCGATGTAAGGATAATTGCGTACACACATAACAAGACAAAAATAAAGGCCATGGTCAGAATACGGCATGTATAAACTGACGATGGCTCAGTTTTGCGTTTTTTCCTACAAAGTCGCATATCGATTAATATGAATTATAGTAGGCAATACAATATCATAAACTGCTGCTCATAAGGCTCTTTTATATCTGTTAACGCACCCACCATAATTTATATCAAAAAATTGTTAACTGTTGTTGTATGTTCCGAAATTAAGTTTCTTTTTCATTAATTGTAAAGATAAAGATAAAGATAAAACTATTAGTTTATAATTTGCTGTTTTTAAAGTCATTGTTTGATTACTTATGGTTAGTACTTGTTCGTGTAATATTATAGTTGGTTTTATCGGCTTTCCTATCCCTCGATTCTTCTCATCGGTATATGTAGCAATGTTTTAAGCCTGTTTCAAAACTCTATAATTCATATGTCATATTACGACCATTCGTAAGCACAAATTATTGTATCGCATTTGTGCTATTATAATATTACTAAACATATTTGTAAGGAAAGCTTATTTGAATTTACCCGATATAACATAATGTCTTATTATGGAATGTTGTCAAAGAAAGGATAAAGCGTGCTAACTAAATAAGTACAATTCTTATTGATACCCGGATATTGCACTACTAATTTGGTATTTGGTATCAGAATAGTGTACCCGGATTTCGATTCTCAGCTTTGGCTACGATCATTATAGTAACGATATTCAGTGTCATTTACATGCAAGATCTAATTAATGCAATCATTGTTAACCACACAGTTGAACAAATTATTGGCAGTTCACACACAAAAAGCACAAAGATTTATTGACTTCCGAGGTAGTGTAATATTGATTACAACAAAGATATAACTTAGAGCATAGTATTCTATATAAAATTCTATCTAACATAGTAAGTATTGCCATGCGTAATGGAGTTGCCATTCCGATCGATCTAACTTTTTTGGCATTCAATGACACAACGTTCTATGCGCTCCTGGATTGCAGCCCCGGCAATAGCATCCTAATGTTCTCTAGTCGCGTTTATGCTGCGTGCGGTTTTTGTAAAAACAATGAACGAAATATATGTTTGTGCAGAAAACCAGCTGACCAAATATTGGTAATCGTGCGTGCTAAGTCACCTACAACAATAATGTTAAATATTGATAAACGCCTGGTTATTGATGCGAACAAAATGATAGTAAACGTAAAAGTGAGTCGATACCATCATATAACGTTGTGTGAGCCTGGTGGTATGTTTCTATTATTAGTTATACAGTATTTAGATATTGCGTAATTCGAATTCTTAACAAGAACAAGTCGGTCGTATTTTGTTTATCTGTATACAATGCA